GACCCGGTTACTTTAAACTCAGGCCGGGTGTGGGTACATGTGTGCCCAAGATACTGGGAGAATGGAGAAGGGATTGTGGCATGGCCATTACCCCAGGGGGTCATTTCTTTCTTCTGTCTCTATCTTTCCAGTGAGCGCATGCACCCCATAGAAAAAAAATCTCTCCCCCCCCCCAAAAAAAAAGAAAAGAAATTTAAGTTCTTGGTATCTCAGAGGAATTAATTTCTGTTCCCAACTCACTTAAATATGCCTTCTTTTTATTAAGACACAGGCACATGTGCATGCAGGAAAGCAAGAGGGAGAAGCAACCTTGACAGGGCCCAATCATGCTGTAATCCTTTTCTGTCCCACTCTCCATCGTGGGCACATGCACACATGCCTGGCTTACACCACTGGGGCCAGTACTTGAACCCTGGTCAAGCATGTGGGAGTCTGGCTTTTTCTGCACAGTACTTCACTGATGGGCTTCAGGATTGGCTCTCCCTTGGACACACTTACAGATACCATAGTCTGAAGCGTCTGATGGTGGTGTCATGGCCACATAACACTGGGAGGTTGATTCCCACAGGAACATCCTAGGTTTGCATTCAGACTCCTTGAATGTGCCAGATATACGCATACTAATATCCAGGACCAGCCGAGGCTGGGGGTGGATCGTGGTGTGAATCCTATTGGGGAGGCCTGCCTCTTTCTCTCTCTCATGAGGTAAAATAAATAAAAATAAAATATAGACACAATGGCAGATGCCACCTACAGATCTTGACTAAGTTGTCTGTTTAATCATACTTCGTGCAAGGGGCTCTGAGGGTAGGTAAAAAGGAATAAATGGTAATCATTAGCACATACCTGAAATTTAAGCTTAGTCCACTTAAAAAAATTAAGACAAATTCTTCTATACAGTGTTGTTAAAAATTCCAATTATTTCTCAATTTTATAGTTAAACATAGCATATAAGTATCTGGATTCCATGTGGCCACTGGTTCAAACTCAGCCATAGGGCTTGAAAAACACTGGGTGTTAGTGTGTGCATGCCCAGAATCCTGGTGGGATAGAGGAATAGAGAAAGAATTGTGGTGTGACTATGCCCCACTGGGGAGTGCTTTGTCTTTCTGGTGAGCTCACATACTCTCGGGCAATTAAAAGAAAAAAAAATTTTCAGATTTTTACTTAAAAATCTCAGTAATACCTTGATAACTGTGATTTACAAAGAATTATATAGGTATGCAGTTAATGAATTATATTTTGGAATTTGTTTAAAAGACAAAGTACACCTAGAGAACATAAAAATTCTTTATTCAACCTAATCCAGCCAGTATCGATAGTCTGCTATATTAAAAACAAAACGTTTAAAAAAATTACAGCAGAGTTAGCAAGACAGTGACTAATTAAGTCACTAAGTTTAATTTTGTATTCTTCACAGTCATTTGATAATCATGTATAATGAACAACATTTTCAGCCACTCTGAATGCAGGTAACTTCAGTAAATAGGATTCTATTAGTTGTTATTGAATTTTATAAAAGGTTTAAAACATTAGTTTCTAGAAATAACACAATAAAGCAATATGAAAATAAACTGGAAAACACAAAATATACCCACCCATTCCCAAAGTCTAAAGCATCTCTCTGATATTCCTCCAACGTCATGCTTTTGCCTCTTCATTCCCTTTTCCTAGAGTGCAAACAGATGTTAGCAATTAAGAAACAACTACTGCTCTGTAGGGGCTATTTCGAGCCTAAGGTGCTTCTGTTCCTTGAATTTCTCCGTCAGTCCTAGTTTTCTGAGACAAGTATCACTTGCATTTCAGAGATGAAAAAAACTGCAGCTGAAAAAAAGTTAAGTCCCTTGGTTAAGAGAAAGTTAAGTTCCAAGGTTGCATACAGTTATTAAAAGTGAAATTAGGGCTTAAACCCAGGTCCATCCAACACTCAGCCTGCCCATGCTCTTCTACTGCTTCATGCTGGGGCGGGCCACCTTCTTGGAAAGACTGGCATATGCTATTCTTGAGCTAAGGCTCTTTAGAATTAGAAGTGTTCGGTTCCAGGGCTAGAGGCCACTCTGGTCCCCAGGCACTTGTAGTTCCCTCCCCACAGCCCTAGAAACCCTCCCTCCTGCCCCAGAGGATTGCAGTTGTTTCCCTGGCCCTCCCCAGTCCTGGTGCCAAAAAACCCAAGCAGCTACTCTACCTTGGCCGCTAAAATAGTGAATGGGAAACGGTGCTTGTGTAACTTCAGCAAAGGCTATTGAGTATCAGCCAGGCTAGGTATCCAGGACTATCTAAGCCATTTCTCCTCAGCTAGTCTACCATTCACATGGATGTAATATGACCTAAAACCATACAACCCATACAGATGGGAGAGCCTTTACTTGATTTATTCTAGAAAATTCTACCCTACTTTAGACATTTAAGTTCTGGAGCCATCAAATGGCACAGCAGTTACATTGCTGGACTCTCACATGGTCAACCGCGGTTTGAGTTCTGGACCCGGTGACTTCAAACTCATGCCGGGTGTGTGTACATGTGTGCCCAAGATACTGGGAGAATGGAGAAGGGATTGTGGCATGGCCATTACCCCAGGGGGTCATTTCTTTCTTCTGTCTCTATCTTTCCAGTGAGCGCATGCACCCCATAGAAAAAAAATCTCTCCCCCCCCCCAAAAAAAAAGAAAAGAAATTTAAGTTCTTGGTATCTCAGAGGAATTAATTTCTGTTCCCAACTCACTTAAATATGCCTTCTTTTTATTAAGACACAGGCACATGTGCATGCAGGAAAGCAAGAGGGAGAAGCAACCTTGACAGGGCCCAATCATGCTGTAATCCTTTTCTGTCCCACTCTCCATCGTGGGCACATGCACACATGCCTGGCTTACACCACTGGGGCCAGTACTTGAACCCTGGTCAAGCATGTGGGAGTCTGGCTTTTTCTGCACAGTACTTCACTGATGGGCTTCAGGATTGGCTCTCCCTTGGACACACTTACAGATACCATAGTCTGAAGCGTCTGATGGTGGTGTCATGGCCACATAACACTGGGAGGTTGATTCCCACAGGAACATCCTAGGTTTGCATTCAGACTCCTTGAATGTGCCAGATATACGCATACTAATATCCAGGACCAGCCGAGGCTGGGGGTGGATCGTGGTGTGAATCCTATTGGGGAGGCCTGCCTCTTTCTCTCTCTCATGAGGTAAAATAAATAAAAATAAAATATAGACACAATGGCAGATGCCACCTACAGATCTTGACTAAGTTGTCTGTTTAATCATACTTCGTGCAAGGGGCTCTGAGGGTAGGTAAAAAGGAATAAATGGTAATCATTAGCACATACCTGAAATTTAAGCTTAGTCCACTTAAAAAAATTAAGACAAATTCTTCTATACAGTGTTGTTAAAAATTCCAATTATTTCTCAATTTTATAGTTAAACATAGCATATAAGTATCTGGATTCCATGTGGCCACTGGTTCAAACTCAGCCATAGGGCTTGAAAAACACTGGGTGTTAGTGTGTGCATGCCCAGAATCCTGGTGGGATAGAGGAATAGAGAAAGAATTGTGGTGTGACTATGCCCCACTGGGGAGTGCTTTGTCTTTCTGGTGAGCTCACATACTCTCGGGCAATTAAAAGAAAAAAAAATTTTCAGATTTTTACTTAAAAATCTCAGTAATACCTTGATAACTGTGATTTACAAAGAATTATATAGGTATGCAGTTAATGAATTATATTTTGGAATTTGTTTAAAAGACAAAGTACACCTAGAGAACATAAAAATTCTTTATTCAACCTAATCCAGCCAGTATCGATAGTCTGCTATATTAAAAACAAAACGTTTAAAAAAATTACAGCAGAGTTAGCAAGACAGTGACTAATTAAGTCACTAAGTTTAATTTTGTATTCTTCACAGTCATTTGATAATCATGTATAATGAACAACATTTTCAGCCACTCTGAATGCAGGTAACTTCAGTAAATAGGATTCTATTAGTTGTTATTGAATTTTATAAAAGGTTTAAAACATTAGTTTCTAGAAATAACACAATAAAGCAATATGAAAATAAACTGGAAAACACAAAATATACCCACCCATTCCCAAAGTCTAAAGCATCTCTCTGATATTCCTCCAACGTCATGCTTTTGCCTCTTCATTCCCTTTTCCTAGAGTGCAAACAGATGTTAGCAATTAAGAAACAACTACTGCTCTGTAGGGGCTATTTCGAGCCTAAGGTGCTTCTGTTCCTTGAATTTCTCCGTCAGTCCTAGTTTTCTGAGACAAGTATCACTTGCATTTCAGAGATGAAAAAAACTGCAGCTGAAAAAAAGTTAAGTCCCTTGGTTAAGAGAAAGTTAAGTTCCAAGGTTGCATACAGTTATTAAAAGTGAAATTAGGGCTTAAACCCAGGTCCATCCAACACTCAGCCTGCCCATGCTCTTCTACTGCTTCATGCTGGGGCGGGCCACCTTCTTGGAAAGACTGGCATATGCTATTCTTGAGCTAAGGCTCTTTAGAATTAGAAGTGTTCGGTTCCAGGGCTAGAGGCCACTCTGGTCCCCAGGCACTTGTAGTTCCCTCCCCACAGCCCTAGAAACCCTCCCTCCTGCCCCAGAGGATTGCAGTTGTTTCCCTGGCCCTCCCCAGTCCTGGTGCCAAAAAACCCAAGCAGCTACTCTACCTTGGCCGCTAAAATAGTGAATGGGAAACGGTGCTTGTGTAACTTCAGCAAAGGCTGCCTGAAGGCTGCTTTACATAACAAAATTATGCAAGAAGTGTCTATTTAATATATATCTTTTCACAGTGAAAACATAAAGAAAAGCCAATATACTTTAAGTATAGCTATATAATCTATTTTTTATATATAATTATAGACTTTATATTTCCCCTTCAGAACTATAGTAGTGTTCTTAAAGCCTGGTCAAATCTTCCCTTCCTCCTCAAATAATTAGAACTTTGAAGGTTCAACAGGCATTCACATAAACATCATGTAACTCCAAATGAAGACATTCGTATTAAAGAAAGGTACCAATCTTTAATTACTAAAGATAACATACATTATTGCAATCTAACATAGTTCAATCTATATTTGCTATACTCCTAAAGAGAAGTAGTCCACTTACCAGTAAGGAGAAACGTTTACTATTGTCATGCATTAGATACTGTGAACAAGAAAATAAATAGGGTTCCTGGAGCTATTCTTTAAAATTATTTTAATGAAAATAACTGCAAGACCATTCAGATTGCTGAACAACATTAAAATGGCCACCCTACTGAAAATGGCTTAAAATAAATAATTGCTTTTGAAAAATGAATACAAAACGAGTTAAACAGTGATTACTAAGGTGCTAGCCTCATCAGTAATGACAAGCAGTTAAAATCTAAAAACATTAGTACTGGTTTTCTATAATCTGACTTGAGCCAAAAATGACCCAATCTTTAACTCAAGGCTCATTTCCATAATTATCTACCCATCGACTGATACAAAAGCCAAGAGCTCTGAGGCTTTCCCTTGGTGTATTCACTGCTAGTTTTCCAACTGCTGAAACCAGACTGTAAACTGAGAGCTGGACCAAGTCTGGCTTGTTCACCACTGTATCCCACTGCACCCTGCAGAGTGCCTGGACAGACTGGTGATCAACAAATATCTGAATCAGTGAGTCAAAGAGTAAGAGAGTAAACTAATATCACTGGTTACTTTTTTCACAAGTCAAATTCTCTGCGTAAACTACTATAAACTGGCAGCTCTAATTTCTAGAAATACAGATTTAAAAACCTTACTCCAGAGATGGAAGGACCTGATGACTGTCTCTGTCTCTATCTCTGTATCTCTCTCTGTCACTCACACACACACACGTACACACACACAGTACTCAAGACTACACAAGTCAAAATTACATTACATTATGAACTGTGAGATGTCAACATTATATAAATAAAATGCAATTGTGAAAAAGTGATCTGGAAGCCCTGTGAATTTTTACCCTACACGTTGGCAGACATCACATGGTTAAGGAAAACAACAAAATCTCAATGGTTCAGGTAATCATTTGAATGTTTACATACATTTTTGGTTTGTTCTTTATAACTGATTTAATTTACATTTTCTCATATTAACATATATTCCTGTTTATCATGGAATCGAATTATGCCAGCGAGAAAAATCCTCATAGTACCTTCATTGAGTTGCTGATTCTAAGAAAAACTGAACATGAACATATACAAAAGAGGCATTTGAATAAAACAGCATGTGCAGTTTTTTAATATTCATACAGTTTGAGCTTTACATTTTTGTCTGGAGAAAACGGAACAGATCCACGTTTACATGGTAAGATAATGGTTCAGACTGCCGTAAAGAAATACGTACATACAATGAAAACAAATCATATCCTCAGGTTCCGTGATTACTGAGAGGATTTCCCCTGCCCTAAGTGCTTTATTATATTTCTTAAAAATATAGGAGCAGCAGCTTATACAAGTCTCCACAAGTGCATTAAGGATGGAATCAAAACAACACAACAAACCCATAAGGATGGGAACTGCAGAACAACTAGAAGTCAGTTTTATGCTTCTTCTTGCTCTGGATAATTTAGAATTTTGCGATGTGCCTGACGTAAATATTGCTGCTGTTTGAAGTAAACCTTAAATGCTCCTTTTATGGCAACGAAAGCAATTCCACCCTAAAATAAAAAGAAAAATTAGCTCTTTGTAATGCAGGTTTAAAGAAACAGGATAGTAAAAACAAATTTATTTAGATCAGAAAAGGCATTGGCTTTGATGCTAAATTAATCCAAATGAGTTCAAAGGAGTCAGTTCTGTTTCCTTCCAGGGGGTGAGAAAGGGAGAGCGAGACTACAGGTGACAGAAGACAGAGATGTCTTCCCGGTATCCTGAGTGACCGTCCGCATACTCAGTTCGACATCCACTAAGGGAGAATACCATGTGGTGCTCCTGTCTAGACTCTAACAGAGGAGAGGAGGTGGGAAACACAACCTGAGAGCAGATGACAGTCGGCACTTGAGTACTTCCTAGATGCTAGGATGTGTCTCTTTTAAACCTCACAGTAACCACAGTCACCAACCCCATTCTGCAGCCACAGAGAAGACAACAAACTTGACTCCCATTTCACAGCAAGGCAATTTGTGATAGGACCTGAACCAGGAAATCTGACCCGACCGCAGAATCTCTTCACCACAATCCTGCTGTGATGACTTGTGCATATTCCAGGAGAGGAATTACCCACAGTGCAATTACGGAGGACAGAGCTGGTGTGGTAGCTCCTCCCTGTTATTTTCACTCCAGCTGCTGGATGACAATAGGGGCCACATGCCACATATCTATACAGTCCACTCCCCATCCTCCACCTTCTAAAACAAATTTGGTTCATTGTCTTTTGTATGTTACTTAACAAAATGTAAGAGTAAAACCAACTTACCAAGATTGTCCTTTGTAAATTAGAGTTAACACTACTGAACATCAGTTTACCAACTATTGTTGCAATTGTAGGAAAGACAAGGGCTCCACACAAAATTCGGGTTGCAGAGACATGATCTGCTAAAGGATTAGCCTCAGCTGGAATTCGAGGAACAGGACAACCAATCCCTTGAGAAAAAAAAATATATTCGTACATATAAATCAGAATAGTGAAAATATCTTCAAGCATTTCTAGAAAGGCATGTTACAGTTCTACAAAATCAACTTGACATGCACTTTACAACCTTAATTCAGGACCTTACCTGGAAATATACTGTTCAAAATTTGTAGTTTATTCGAGTATTTGCGCCATAGTCTAAGCACATAGTCTTCCCAGCGAATCATCTTGCCTAGTATCAGCATAACAGGAATAGTAGGAAGTCCGATTAAAAGGAATAAAGGGTCAGCTCTCTCCATAACATCCAGACCTTCTTTGTGGCCTACAACCTGTGAAATAGATAGCATTGCTAGAATCACGCCCTCATCTAACGATGTGTTGAATGCTTGAGCGCAGTCCCTTTATAGTAAATGCTGAGTTTCAAAAGAATACAGAAATAAAAAGTTTCAAAAATTAGATGGAGAGCTGACTCTGTAGCCTAGTGGTTAAGGGAGCTGGATCCCACATGGCTGTGGTTTGAATCCAGCCCAGCTTGAAGAACTGCTAGGTGTGTTTGCATGTGTGCCCAAAATCTTGACAGGATAGAGAACTGCAAGAGAAGGGACTGTAGCATGACAATGCCCTGTTGAGGGGTGCTTTCTTTCTCTGGCAAGCACACACACCCTCTGGCAGATTAAAAATAAAATAGGCGAAAGCTATCTGTTATAAGAAATGTCTCTCATTCCAGAAAAAAGTCGTTTTTACACTATTTCATATTACATGTTGAAATGTGTGTGTGTGCCCAAGATCCCGAGATGAATGGAGGAGAAGGGATTGCAGCGTGGTCATCCCCCTGGGGGGTGATTTCTCACTTTCTGTCTCTCTGTCTCTGTCTAGTGAGCACATGTGTCCTATAGCAAAAACCTCTCCAAAAACAAAACAACAACAAAACCTTATCTTCACATTTCTTTCTTTTTTTAAGAGATTTTTTGCTACAGGGCACATGCGCTCGCCCAAGAGACAAGAGGCAGCGAGAAATCACCCCCCAGGGGAGATGGCCAAGCCACAGTCCTTCTCCTTCATTCTTCTCTTGGGATTTTGGGCATGCATGTATGTACACCCGGCATGAATTTTAAGCTGCTGGGTCCAGGACTCGAACTACAGTTGACTACGTGGGAGTCCAGCGACGTAACCATTACGCCATTTACTGGTCCCCTTAACTTCACATTTCTACATGCAATATAGTCATTCTGAGTTTCCCTCAAGTGAAATGGTCTGTTCATGTATTTCTTGAACTTCAATTCCACAATGGTGGCAAAAATTGACTAGCTCAAAGATTATGTTTTAACCTGTAATGCAAGACATTTCATTTTTATATTATTTTTGTTTTCCATATAATGATCACTATAAAGTTAAAACTAAATGTGACTTAGGGCTGCAGGTGGTTTGATGGTTAAGGTGCTGAACTTCCACATGTTCAACCATGGTTTGAGTCCTGAACCTGGTGGCTTGCTTTCTTACTTTCCCTTTCCCTCTGGTCAAATAAAAAAATAATAAGTAAAACAAATAATTCTAAAAAAACCCCACAAAAACAAACAAAACCTTAAATGTGACTCAGGTATTCTCAAAGTATTGGCAAATAAATTTAGATATTTGAAAAAATTATTTGTTGGGTAATATATTCTTTTTTGGGCTTTAGAAATATAAAGCAGAGTGAATACTTAGGCATGGCCTATAGGAAGGGGAAATTTGTTCCTCATGTCTAGCAGTAAAAGCTTTTTTAACAAGTATTGAAGAATAAGGAAACATGGAAATATGGCAAAGTGAGCAAATACCCACTGCTCCACCTGTTAATGACTAAAATGGAGAGAGATACCCTGTGCTTAACCTAGTTAGAAGTGGGTTGAATCTGCTCACTCTTGCATGTATACATTCATTCATCCGAGTACTGACTGTGCACCAGGAACAGGTACACTAGGCCTAGGTGCTGAGTAAACCACGGTTAGCTAAGAAGTGTTTTTTGGAGGTGACAGAAAGTCAAATCAAACAAGTGTGCAAATAAAAATGTTGTGAAGAAAAATGGTGGTATAACATCTGCAATGTACCACCTGCCACCACAATCATACTTTATTAATAAATGCAAGCAGGGGGCCAGCAGATGGCATAACAGTTACATTGCTGGACTTCCACGCGGCTGACTGTGGTTTGAGTCCTGGACCTGGTGGTGTGAAAATCATGCAAGGGTACGCATGCATGCCCAAGATCCCAGGAGGAGAATGGAGAAGGGATTGCAGCAGGGCCATATACCCTGGGGGGTGACTTCTCACTTTCTCTCTCACTGTCTGTCTCCTCTCTCTCTCCTTTTGCCTTAAGGCAAAAACCTCTTAAAATAAGATAAAAATAAATGAAGGCTGAATCAGGAATGAGCCTGATTTAACTGTGGCCAATACAAAGTCATGAATTCTGCAGGGTAATCACATCATTCTAGTTTCATGACCCAAGATTTAAACATAGTTTTTTTTTTTTTTTTTTTTTTTTTTTTTTTTTACTTTCTTGCCAGAGAGCAAAAGAAAGCACCCCCAATGGGGCATGGTCATGCTGCAATCCTGTCCCCTCTACTTCTCCATCTTGCTGGATTTGGGGCACACATGTATTATGTGCCAAACATGTTTTTCAAGCTGCTCCCCACCCTGAAAAAATCAAACAAAAAAACAGGTTATTTTTCAGACTTTAATTTTAAGGTGAGATCCAAGAACTGCAGTATGCCCTTTTTTTTTTTTTTCTTTTTTTAAGATTTATTTATTTTTAATTTTATTTATTCTCATTATTCTTCAATTCTGACCAGAGAAAGAGATAAAGGAAGAGTGAGAAAGCAAGCTGCCAGGTTCAGGACTCGAACTGTGGTCAGCCATGTGGGAGTCTAGCATCTCAACCACCATACCACCTACTGACCCCAGAATGCCTTTTCTAAGAATTTGTTGTCCATGTATAAAATAAAGGCCTATAGAATCATTGGCTTAGGGGTGACCCCATGGACTAATAGTTAAGTAAACCAGATCCCACATGGTTGATGATATGGTTCAAATCCTGGCCCCGGTGGCTTGAAAAAACACACTGGGCACGTGTGTACCTACCCCAAATCTGGACAGGATGAAGAATGGAGCAAAAGGGATTATAGTGTGAATATACCCTATTAGGGGGTGCTTTCTCTCTCTGGTGAGTGCATGTGTGCCTTCTGGCAACAAAACAAAACAAAACAAACAACAACAACAAAAAAACCAGGTTTAGAGAAAGTGTTTTGTTTTTCTGTTGAAGAGCTAAGAGCTCTTCACAGTAGGGTGGGCCTGCAGTTCAGCGTTGCTGAAAGGTTAAGCACTAATTAAAGTCTTTTCCTTTAAAACACTGCCTGTTAGAATTTTACTTTTGAACTGGTCCCACAGTGCAGATTAAGCTCTGTGCACAGGGAACCGGATCCCACATGGCTGACCATAGTTTGAATCCTAGTCCCAGCAACTTGAAAAACACATTGGGTACATGTTTAAGTGTCCCAATTCCTCATGAGGTAGAGAAATGGAGAAGAAAGGATTGTGGCATGGCTAGACCCTATTGACGGGGGGTGCTTTCTCTCTTTCTATTCCGGTTCCCCTTCCTTCTTTTGGTGAATGTAGATACACTGGAAATTTAAAAAAAAAAAAAAATCTCATTAAAAACAACAATAACAACAACAAACAAAGGCTAGCAGGTGGCATGGAGGTTAAGGCAGCTAGATTCCACATGGCCAGCTTCATGGTTTGAGTCCCAGATCCTGTGGCTAGAGAATCATGCTGGAAGCGTATGTGTCCTGTGTAAAATCCCAAGAGAATAGAGAAAGGACTGTGGCATAGCCATCCCCCCTGGGGGTGACTCTTCACATTCCCTCTCTCTGTTCTCTCTCCAGTAAGCATGTGTGCCCTATAGCAAAACTAAAAATAAAACAAAAAGAACAAACAAAAACTTGTAAGAAGGATGAAACAGTGATGAACAAACAGATTTTTCTTAGAATTAAATTGATAATTAAAAATGGACAATGCTTACAGGGGTTGTCTTCATACTAGAGGCAAAAGTAGGAAGAAACTAGGCTGAATAGTAAGGTTCCACTGTCCCAGGATAAAATGTTCGGGCTGCCTCTGGGACCAGGCTTCATGCACAGAGCCCTAAATTAGGGACAGGAGTCTGAAGAAGTCTTCCTTGCTTTGTGGTATTAGACATGCAAACTCTCTCAACCAGTAAAGTCGGAATAACTAACTTTACTGACCAGTAAACCATGCCACAAAATTGTTTAAATGTAGCTTTAGTGCTTAAAAGGCGATTAGCCCAGTGCTGGAGGAAAAATTAACTATCATGTTGTCTTCTCAATAAAAATGCAAGTAGAGGGTCCCATTCAGTTTCCCACAACTAAGTTTGGCACATGAGACTGGTCCGTAAAGAACAAAAGAGAATAAGTGGGAAAAGAACAGTAATCTAGTGTCTTAATCTGATTTAGCTGAACTCCCAGAATCGTCAGAGAACAGTAGGAAAAGAAAGATTTAAGTATTAAAAAGCAAACCCTAAATACTTCTCAGTGTAGGGGCACACTGCCTATTAGGTAGTAAAAGTCAGTTTTCTAGTACTCTTAAACTACACAATCGTACCTACCTGCTGTCACAGCTCATCTCTCGTCTTGGGGCTAAACGAAACCTTTTCAAGTGATACAGTGTATGTGGAGGTGACTTCCAACTGGTAATACATATATGTATTAGAATTTTGCCACCTCGCTTATATCATTTCGTCTACTCTAGCAATCCAAATGATTTCCTTTGGCTTGGCCGTGCATTCAAGAGGTTAAGCTCTTTGTACAGAAAGCTGGATCTCATATGGCCCACTGTAGTTTGAGTCTTGGACCTGTTGCTCTGAAAAACACACCAGGCATATGTGCCTGTGTGCCCCAAATCTTGCTGAAATGGAGAAATACAGGAAAGGGCACTGTGAGGTGTCTATGCCCCATGGCGGGGTTGGGGGTGGAGAGGGAAGGGAGTGCTTTCTCTCTCTTTCTCTCTGGTGAGCACACAGCACCCTCTGACAATCATAACAAAAAATAAAAATAAACCCAAATTATTCCCTTCAAGGGTCAGCCATAAGTTACTTTTCTCATAACTTCAAATGATCTTGCACTTTTACTGAATTAAATATTGTTTATGTAGTCTTCTGTGTTCCCTTCACATTGACTTGCTTCATTTCTGTGTCCTGTTTTGCATACTTTCCTTGAGGCTGGAGGTTGGGGTTTTCAATTAATTTGTGTTTTACAAGACCCCACTTAAATATTAAGTTTTTGAATGAATCATACCAATATGGTTCAATATGGCAAAAGAAAGCACTTTCTAGAGAATATAGTCTGTATTCCTTAATTGGCTCCTTTCGTTAAAGTGCCCGGTTAATTATCAAAATTCTAAAAAAAATTTTTAAAGAGGTTTTACCTCAGGGTGTGTGCACCTACCAGAGGGAGAAAGAGGCGAAGAGAGAGATGGAAATAATGAGAAGTCGCCCCCTGGGGGGGATGGCCGTGCCAAAATCCCTTCTTCATTCTCCTCCTGGGATCTTGGGCACATATGCACATGTGTCTGGTGTGAGTTTCAAGCCACCGGGTCTGGGACTGAAACTGTGGTCAGTCATGTGGGAGTCCAGCAATGTAACTAACTGCTACACTATCTGCTGGCCCCTTAATTTAAAAAAAAAAAATCATGCCAGCCTAAAAAATTTTCCTCATAAAGAGCCATCCCACTTCTTATGATTAGTAAGGGTTAATGAGGTCTTGCTATGTTACTATCCTATGGCTTCAGCCTCCAGAGTCACTAACTGCAGAAGCGTGCCACCACGCCCAGCGCTCAGGGTCCAGCTATGTTGCCCATGCTGGCAGTGAACTTGTGATCTTCCTGCCTAAGCCTCCTCAGCACCTGGGACCACAGGCACGTGCAGAGGAGGCTGATGAAGTACAACCTGTTCCATGTTTCTGGGTCATTGTCAGTTCTAATAAACTGTCCCAAATCTCCCTGATCAGATGATGTACTGATACTCATTATTATAGTAATCACATAAAAAACATCGATACTTATGAAAGCCTTTCATGTGTAATTTTCTGTGATGATGCAGTCACACAATACAGAAGCATACTTTCAAGGAAATTATCTTCTAATAGGAAAAGTAAGACATAAATACAGGAAACTTCAATAAGTAATTTATATGAGAAATGTCACTTGGCCAGCACAAGATTAACTGCCATTTGAAGAATAAAAATGCCATAAATGCAGAGGAAGCAATCACAGTGGGTAGGAGATATATGGTAAGCTGCAAGGAGGAAAAACCTGGAAGGAAGGTTTAGATTATCCTGGATAAGTAGACTAGAAGGACAGGTATGAGGCAGAGAGACTGATAAAAGTAAAAAAACATAGGTCACCAAAACAGAACGACCTAAGGATGGGTTCGGGGAATAGCCCCACAGGTCTCAAAGAGGAAAGCAGCACTGTGGAGAACCCTGCATATTAAATCAGGCCAAGGAAATGGAATATTTTTCAAGTCAGTGATTCTTAATTCACTATACTCAAGGAAGATGATGTTTTACTATTTGTGATTCATTCCAGTGGCTATATCTAGATTTGGGGGCTGCCCTCAAGTTGTATGAAGAAGTCTCACAATACTCCATCTCACCATGACTACTAGTGGAGCAATCACCAAGGCTGCTCACTGTGGACCCTGGTACAGACAAAATACATGATGTTTCTGGAATATTAGATATAACCACCTCCATTCTTTTTTCTTCCATGCACACTCTATATTAAAGCAAACAACGTCATCTGCAAAACTAAGTGTTAACTACTACTGAGTTACTACTGAGTTACTTAGGAAACACTTAACCAATATAGATTCTATTCTTGAAAATCACTACTTGGGGTAGGAGTAAGATGTTGAAGGTATTATTCATTTAGAAGGGCAGATTGACAGAAAAGAATGAAATCAGAGAAACCAATCACAAGGCTCCTTTAGATATCCAGGTAAGATGGGGAAGTGACAAGAAATCAGGTGGTGGGGACCACAGGTGGTATGGTGGTTAAGGCGCTGAACACTCCCACATGGCCAACGGTTTGAGTCCTGGACCTGGTGGCTTGCTTTCTCACTTTCTTCTCTCTCTGGTCAAATTAAAATAAATGAATGAATGAATAAAATTGAATAAAATAATTCTTAAAAAAATAAAAAGAAGTCAGGTGGTAAAGACTGTGGAAAGGAAACAGTAAATCCAAAGCATATCGAAATGGAAAAACTGCTTGGTCAGGAATTTAAATATAACACTATAAAACAGAAAATGTTTATGCCACCTGCTAGTGCCAAGTCAAATATATATATATATAAGAGGGGATGGCCACACAGCAATCCCTTCTCCTCCATCACTCTCCTCTTGGGATTTTGGGCATGCACACATATGCACCTGGTGTGAGTTTAAGCCGCTGGGTCCCCTGGACTCGAACCATGATCAACTACATGAGAGTTCAGTGATGTAACCATTTTGTCATCTCCTGGTCCCAAGTCAAAGGTAATCTTAAGGTGGTGGAATGTAAACTGAATAAACAGGAAAATAGCAGGAATCAAAGATAAAGAGAAATGGGGCCAGCAGGTGGCATGGCGGTTAAAGTGCTGGATTTCCACATGGCTGACTGTGTTTCAAGTCTTGGACCTGGCAGCTTAAAAAAAAAAAATCACAACAAATAAATAAATAGATAAATAAATGTTTAAAAAAAAAAAAGATACAGGGGAATTATAATGGGAAATATATTTAGGTTTTAAATAGAAGAAAAGGCAAGTTTGATTTCAATAATGTTGTGTGTGGGATCACAAAATATTCAAGGAGAAGGGTCAAGCTGCAGTTGCACGACTGGATTTGAAGAAAGGGCAGGGCAAAAGACAGATAGGAGCATAAAAAGTACAAAGTTGGTAGTTGGAAATTTTTAAGGAAGAGATATAAAAGAAGATCTAGTGTTGGGGACAAAAATCTTGAAATTTAAGCCTGATTTTCATAAAAATTGATTGTAGCACATTTTTGCATATTTACATGAAAAGATCTCCAAGATTCACTGTGAAAAAAAGGGATGCAGCTGTTATATAGTCTCTTTTGGCTTACAAAAAGGGGAAGGGAGTGGGGTAAAAAATAATTATTTTTTTCTTGCATTTACATAATATAAATCTGGAAGAACATCTATGAAACTAACAACAGTAACTACCCGGGGAGGTAAGGGAGAACCTGAGCAAATAAAGGGTAGGTGCAGGAAGACTTTTCAGTAGGTACCTTTATTTATATATATTTAAATTTTAAGCCAAGCAAATGTTATTTCAAATAATAAACTTTAAAACTCCTAACAAAATGTTAACAGACTTTCACATCAAACATAACATCACTAAATCGAGTAAAATAGTGAACCTGCATCACGGTCACTGCTCCGTACGTGACAGCGGTCCAGTAGATAGAGCCAACCATTTTTTAGCAAACGGACAGGCTTTTGAAATCAGTCTATCTGCAAGATCCAAGACATAAACAACTGGACCTATGATAAAAAAAAAAAAGATGAATAGAGTTTTAATAGCAGGTCAATAAATTAAATGACTTCAATACTTTCTACAGATCTAAATACTTTTATAAAGTCAGAAATTTCAATGCTTTTAAAATAACTGTAATAAGTTCAATAGGAATCTAGATTTAAATAGTTTAGATTTCATGATCAATTGCATGAATAGCTGAATATTACTTCCTAAAGTCTAGGAAATGGCCTCTTCAGATTTTTATCTTGATTACTGAACCTAAAATTAGAGCCTCAAAATACAGCTGCCTTTTTTTTTTTTGAGAGGTTTTTTGCTATAGGGCGCATGCACTCCCCCGAAAGACAGAGAGATAGAAAGCGAGAAATCATTCCCCCAGAGGGGATGGCTATGCCGTAATCCCTTCTCCTCCATTCTCCTCTTGGCATCTTGGGCACGCACGCACACATGCCCGGTATGAGTGTAAGACGCTGGGTCCGGGACTCGAACAGCGGTCAGCTACATGGGAGATCAGCGACATAGCCATTTCGCTTACTGCTGGTCCCTAGCAGTAAGGAAATAATAGGCTTCCATCTCTCAGCTACACTGGCTACTGCAGAGTGAAATGGCCATTTTGGTTTGCTCTTTCCAAACAGTTCCTGACAGTTAGATGCTCTAGAACATGGGAAGAATATTGCCTCCGACTTTGCTCAGTGCTCCTTGGTACAGCGTACAAAGGTAACAAAAGCTATTTTATCGTAGTTATATAAAGTCATCTTTGATTTTCAATATGCTATATTTAGTTGAATGTTACAGCAAACTTCTTTTTATAATGATGCCTGTTTTTATGACATTCCAACAGCTGTATGTGCCAATTATGCTTCTATTATTATGTCCTCACTGTGAAATTTGGCTACTATTTTCTTCTAGAAGTTATTTGGAATAGCTACATTTGGAGGTATTCTACTGTCATTAAGCTCAATATAATTTAGTTCCAGAATTTTTCAGAAGACAAGAGTCTCAGGCTTGATTTAAAGCAAGACCCAAAAACTGAATATTTAGTATAACCAAAGGAATATAAAAACCTCTTGATTTAGTTAGTAATCATCATATTCTTTGACTATGCCCTATATATGAAATATTACTAGAGAACTTTAAAGAGTTTTTTATTACCTACATTCTGGGAGCGTACAATCTAAAGGAGGGTGCCATACACAAAAACTGTTTGTTTTCATTGCACATAAAAATTAGCACAGTAATCTGATGATAAAATAATTACACAGCTAAGCATAAAGCATCCATCCATGGAATCCCTGATCAGACACCCTGCTGATCACTGGAAACAGCAATATTACTAGTCACTATATACAGACTGCACTGTGAGGTGGACAGAACATCAGGAACGATACTGAAAAGACCTATGATTTAAACGGAGCATATTGGGACCAGCAGGTGGCGTGGTGGTTAAGGCACTGGACTACCACATGGATGACCAAGGTTAGAGTCCTGCCAGGTCCAGGCAGGACTGGACCTGGCAGATTGCTTTCTCACTTTCCCTTTCTCTCTCTCGCTCTCTGGTCAAAGTAAAAACAAAAAATAAAATATGTGTGTGTGTATAAAATTTATATTATAATTTATATTAATAAATTATAAATAAATATAAATAATGTATAATTTATATTAATACATTATAAATTATATATATATAATTTATTTTAAAAGAAAGTGGAGCATATTTACTTACTGTCAAACCCTAGCTTATACAACATTTAAAAGATTATATAACATTTAAAAGCTATAAGGTATCTTTCAGGACCAGAGGCTAAATTAGGCTTATTCTGTCTAGCATAAGTCTCAATCTACCAATATTCCACCTAACTGAAAGTAACCTCTTCATGTGCACACTAGATGCATCCCTTCATTGACTCAAGGCCATGTGTACACTAGACTCATCCCTTCAACTCAGGACCAAAGAGATAAAATAGGCTAAATTAGACTCAGTCTCTCTAGCATAAGTCTCAATATACCAATATTCCACCTATCTGAAATTAACCCCTTCACGTGTACACTAGACCCATCCCTTCATCAACTCAAGGCCACAGCTCCAGCAATTCCCTCCCAATTGTCAAATACATACAAACAAACAAACATACATACATATATAGTTAATTACATATATACATTTATGCGCACGCACACACACACACACGCACACACAAATAAATAAAAACTCTTTGCTGGATTATTTCTGTCAAATAAACATTTTGTTTTCTTTCTTCTATCTTAAAGAAACCAAACTTGGGGCACTCCATGGTCTGGTTAGGTTAAGGGAACTGTATCTCACACAGCCAACGACATGGTTCCCATCTCAGCCCTGGTGGCTTGAAAAACATGCCAGGTGGGTGTGCAGATGTTCCCAAAATCCCAACAGGATGGAGAAATGGAGATGGGGTCACGGTGCGACCATGCCCCACTGAGGGGTGCTTTCTCCCTCTCCCTCTGGCTAGTACATGTACATTCTGGAAAAATAAAACATCAGAACTCTTTTTTTGATCCCTCACTACTCCATCTCTTTCTTTCCTCTGCAACAGAATTCCTCACAAGCACTGTCTAGATCTCTCTCCTTTAATTTTCTCTTGGACCTATTCTATCAAAACTGCTTACTGAGGACGTTAACAGCTCTACAGAGCTAAATCCAATGGTTTAATCTCAGTCTTCCTCTGATTTGGCCTATCAGCAATAACTGACAGATGATCCCCTTCTCTTCCCAATGCGTGGTTCTTCACTGTGTTTCTAGGACGTCACCATCTCGTGGTTTTCCTTCTATCTCGCCACTCATTTTTCTGTTTCCTTTGCTGATTCCTCTTGACCTCAGTGAGGCCCACCCTGCAGAAATCTACCTCATCACAATCCCTATTTGCTTACTTTATTCTATTTTTCTTTTTCTCAAAGCATTTACCACTTAATGTACTCTTATTTGCTTATTAATTCTGCTTCCACTTACTAGCAGGGATTGGGAAACCATGACCTATGGACCATATCTAGTCAGTTGCCTGTTTCTGTAAATGAAATTTAACTGGACCAGGGCCACAGGCAAAGTCTATAATATTTACCATCTGGTTCTTTACAGAACAAGTTTGCTGATTCCTACATTAGCTCACAAATTCCAAAGGAAAATGTATCTTTTTGTTTTGTTCACTGACGTATCCCAATTTCCTATGACTCTCAAGTTTGTTGAATTTAATTTTCTAATGAGGTGCTTATAGTACATGGAACTATCTACTGACGGAGAAAAAGAACAGAATTCAAAAAAATAAATATTTGGACAAAAACATAATTCCTAAAAAGTAACTCGTCACCACTACTTTTATCTATCATCACACTGATAATCCAGAGATGTTTGGATTGTTTTTCCTCAGAAGATCTCCAAAGGTTCTAACATGAGTTCAGTTTTCTCCCTGAGTCATCGGTGTGAATTCTTTTGTACAAGAAGAAAAACTTTTTGGAACTTTTCTACTCATCCCTTGAGTTATATGCAAAAGACGTGCCAAATAAAATGAAAACTTCATTTTATAGCACCTAATTCCAGTTATTCTGGCAAAGTTCTGTCTTGGCTTTTGTCTCACATTTACTTTGCCTAAATCACTCAAAGCTCTTCCAGATATACTAATCCAAGATTAGTTTAATATTTAAAAAGAAGGATAAATGCCTAGTATTAAACATACCATTAGAATAATAAACTGTCACCCAAGGGAGGTATTTCTGAGGGCTAAAGATTATCTAGGCTAGTTATTTAGTGAGTAAGAATAGTCACTAAAATCCTCGGATAACCGTCCCTAAATCAGACTCCTCCTATTAGAAGCTTAGGTGCTATCATCCCATGACTTGGGCTCATCATCTTAGGAAAAAAGCAACAGTCACTAGGTTCCTCTTGTCGAATTCCGGCACAAAGAATTATGGGAAGCAGGGAAAGATCCTGGTTCTTAAAAATATTGATTCTAAAGGAGAGGAAGAAGTATGAATAAATGTGCCTCACAAGTTAAATATATAAGAGTGTAAAAAAGTTTCAATATTTTTAAAAGGAATAATTGAAGTTTTACTCACCACTTATGTTTTCAACAGTGCTGTGTTTATACAATGGATAGCAACTGAAGGAGCTTTGTATAAATACAAGTTTTGAAAATCTAGTCACTTAAAGGGTACCAGGGAAATGTGCAACTAAAAAGAAGCCTATTATGAATTGTTTTTGTAAGGAGGACTATACCCTATATTTTGTGTAAATTCCAATTTTCACATTTCAGTTTTAAGTATCATCAAAAAGCTGAGAACTATGAGGAAAACTCTTAAGTACTTAAAAAGAATCAGTTCTGTCTGGCAGACATTGCAAAAGTATTGGTGTGATTAAAATTTACATTTGCATATCTATGGTTGCTAAAAGGACACCTTGCAAGTTAAGAAATCAATGATTGGGGACCAGCAGATGGCATAATGGTTACAATGCTGGACTCCTACATAGTCAACTGTGGTTTGAGTCCTGGTCAACTGTGGTTTGAGTCCTGGACCCGGCAGCTTAAAAAACTCACTTTAGGCGCATGTGTGTGTGCCCAAAATCCCAAGAGGAGAATGAATAAGAAAGGATTGCAGCGTGGCCATCCACCCTGAGGGCCTGAGGGGTGATTCTCGCTTTCTTTCTCTCTGGCAAGTGCAAATGCCCAACAGTAAAAATCTGTCTCTTAAAAAAACAAAAACAAAAACAAACAAAGACTAAAGGACAGGTGGTTAATACAAAGTGTTTATAGACTCCACAGGTAAGACTCACAGAGATACCCAGAACTCCCATGATCTTTCTCTGTCATAGAAAGAGGCCCTCCAAAATACCTATGAACAATTCTTGAGAAACATAATTTCTATACTTTGTAAGAATGCTAAAGTTCTAACACAGAACATGACTTAATGAGCAGGTATAGGTGTTTCACAAGACACCCTCCTACAAGTTCCTGAGAAGATAAGAGCTCCCACGTACTCTGTG